CACAGGATGCTCCTGTTTTAAAATTTATATTTCTCTTTGGTGCTGAGGATTAAACCTGGGGTTCCCTTGCATCGTAAGCTTGAACTATACACTAGCTATCCCATACGACACTCTTTTTAAAAGTTTTGGGAACAGATTTTCTTCTTGGAAACAATACTTTTTAAAAAGGGTAAACTCTGCTACATATCATATACCAAAAGCTCAAGTAAAGGGATATTGTGCTTTAGCAGAACCGTATAGTTATTACCATCACATCGGGAGAACAAGAATGAAGTATCATTGTTTTCCCACATGTATTTATTAAATGCATCAACCAAATCCTCACTTTTGTACTAGATAAAGGTGTGTACACCTTCTCGGACAGATATCTTGTATGTTGTCTACACTTCACTCTTAGGAATTTCTTATCCGTTTCATCAAATCTAAGAGATGAAGAAAACCTATTTCCTTACTCATCTGAGTTACCAGCCACCTCCGTTGTCCCTCCAGGCTAGGAACACCATCCAGCCTGGGTTATTAAAGTTGGTCTGAAAGCGCAATCTGTTCTAAACGACTGTCCCTGGATCCGCAACGGAACCCTGTAAATACCCTTCATTACTCTGGCAGGGCAGGATCACATTTCTTTCTTGCTACTTTTGTGGCTGACACAAGTTAGTCAGTGAGACTCGGACTTTAGATGATCCTGGTTATTGAGATAGGAATGGTGCCTCTCCCGAGACAGGTAATTCCCATTTTACTTTTCAGGATCATGTTTTGACACCAGTGTTCCATTTAGGTTTTTATGTTTATAGCTTCAAAAACTAAGTGGGTTTTGAACTTAGAAGTTTTAAATGTCTTTAGTCTTCCCAAGCAAGCATTTTTACTACTGTGTAGATGAAAAGGAAATTTCTTAAGGTTGTCATTGTATTTCTCCATTATATCATGGGATTTATATAAACCCTCTATGATCTTATCTGTTGCTGTGGATGGTCAGGATTATCTCGTGTGAAATTTCTTCTCATTGCAAAAGATTAGAAAATACATATAGGTCTTAGTTTTCAAAGTGAGACACAGATATTTGATTTTGTTTTTCCATCTGACACTGGAGGAGGATATCTGAAAACAAATCTACGTACCGGTACTTCACGCAAAACTTACTGAAACTTTGGTATACATGAGCAATTTCTTTTGGAGAATGGAAGCCTATGACAATATGGAAAAAATAGCAAATACAAAATTTATATACGAGTCTACCAGCGCAGAAATTTTCTCCTGTTTATCTTCCAAGTGAAGACTTCCTCTGATAAAGATTTTCAAGATTCCTTGGCATTCCTGTGGATCATCCCAACGTGAGTAAATTGTTTCTGTAGCGGAGTGACTGGTTTAAGAAACAGCTGAAGGCAAGCAGAGGATCATTTCAAACCACAACAGACACGTGTGTTAGATGGGTCACTCAGCTTTATGGGGAAGGCTCTAAGACATGTAACTTTGTATTTTGTTACTAATGAAGCTTGTTTTTAACATGTTGGGCAGTTAAAAGTTTTAAAGATTATTCTTTCTACCAGTAAACTCTAGAAAAATCTGAATTAGCAGGTTTGAGACATAATAGTTACACAATTATTATGATGCCAAGAAAGGTAGGGACATAAGGAAGCAGAAATTTTATAAAAACTAAAATCTAGAGCATGACTTAGATGTATTATAAGCAAGATGGCCCATACTTGCTGAAAAATACTTATTTTAAATATATGCAACTAGCTGTCTTGTTAAGATATCAAAAAAGGTTGTATGCTATGTGTGTTTGAAAGTGCTTTAGTAAAAAAGAAAAGAAGCCCAAATTTCCTTGGCTTCTTTTCTCTGTAACTCTTCTGTCACATTTTAAACTGATTTTACTACTTGACATTAAAATATCAGTAATCTGATTGCCTAGCCAACTCTGGTTTTTTTCATTTTATTTATCTATTTATGTTTGCAATGTATAGTAATTATGTTCATTTTGGTTATATATGTATACGTGACACATCTTAATTTTTTTTTTTTTTTTTGAGGTAGGATCTTGCTATGTAGTTTAGGCTGTCCTTGAACTCACTGTGTAGCCCAGGCTGGTCTCAAACTCTCAGCAGTCCTCCTGCCTCAGCCTCCTGAGTGCTGGGATTACCAGAATACATCTTGATCTTTTTTACTTGTCTTCTTCTTGCCCTCTCCCATCCCTCCTTCCACACCTCCCTTCTCATTACCACATAGTCTAACTCCCTGTTTCTTATTGTCTGTCTTCCGTTTTGCTTTTTATTTATATCATGAGTTTCTCATATAAGAGAAACCGTGCACTATTTAATAGTCTGTCTCTGATTTATGTCACTTAGCATTCATTATAGGATCAAGGTGTGTCCATTTTCCTACAAATGACTCAAATTTATCCTGCTTTTTCTACTTGTTTTTGTGTGGGTCTCCTTTAATCTCAGTGTTTTATACCTGGAAAAAAGAGGTTACCAGAGTTATCAGGCAACGTGCAGGGAGGGAAAAATGTGTTATTTTATGGTATAAGTGCTTCCCTTTTAATTTGTAACACACCTATTAGCTACCTAAAACAGAAGTTCTATTTTTCCATGTTCCCAAGAATCTCCAGATAGCAGCACTGATATGGACTGTGGCTTAAGATTCGAGTGGAATAGTGAAGGAAAATTATTTATGTATTTATGTATTTATTTATGTATGCTAAGGATCAGACTGAGGGTCTTGCACAAGCCAGGGAAGTGCTATATTACTGGGCTTCCACCAACCCAAGACCTTCTTTTTAAGTTAAAAAAAAAATAATCGTGAGAGAATCCAAATAAATAAAAAGACAGAGACAAAATTAAGTAGCTGGACATTCGTATCTGCACAGGATTAGGTAAGAAAACAACTGAATCTTTCTGTTGAAGATACTAATTACCTTGGTAACGATACTAACCTATTCCTTTGAGCTTCTCCTCATATCTTTCTCCTTGCTTGTAATTGTCTTCATTTTGTTTCTGTTTTGTTGTTCTGAAGCTCCTGACCCAGCCTTTCTTGTGCTGGATTTCCAGATGTAGACCACCACACCCGGCTAGCACAGTTCTTTTCACCTGAATTATTTAAAATTTTACTCACTTCTTTCTTTGTTGTTTTCGTCTGCCTGTGTAAGTGTAAAACCTTATAACAAAGGTGTAATGAAGCCTCTTCTGTGATCACAATAAAGATATTTCATCTCTGTTCGATGTATTATGGATATTTTGAAATGACTGAAGATAAAAATAGCTTAGTAAATTCTATGACATAGGGAAAGCTTGTGTATGTTTTTCACTGTTTTCTATCTAGTACCTGGTACATCATGAGCGTTAAGTAAATATTTCTTGGGCCAGGGATTTAGCTCAGCAGTATAAGCACCTGTGTGGCGATCGTGAGAGTTCGATCCCCGGTATCAAAAAAAAAGTAAATATTCGTTGAATTGGTAAAGAGAAAGAAACTCTCTAAGCAGTTGTGTGATTTATGAAGCTAGATTAAAGCCAATGTAGTTCATGCTACAATGATCTAAATAATCTTATCTGTCTTATTTATTTTTGAGATAAAATTTCACTATGCAATTCAGATTGGCCTTGAACTCACTTTGTAGCCTAGACTGGCCTCAAACTCGCAGCAATCTTCCTGCATCAGCCTCTCGAATGCTGGGATTACAGGCATGTGCCACTTAAATATTTCTTTTAAAGAATAATCAATGGAGGCTGGGGATTTAGCTCAACAGTATAAAACCCTGCTTGGTAAGCACAGTTTTAAGTTTGATCCCCGGTACCAGAAAAAAAAAAATGATCACTGGAAGTCTGGGGAGATAGCTCAGTGGTAGAGTGCTTGCCTAGCACATGCAAAGCCCTGGGTTTAACCCCACTATTGCAAAATAATAATAATAGCAACAGTAATCACTGGCTTTGAAGTCTGAATTTTCAAAACGCACACTTCAAGCAAGATTGGGACTATCATAAAATCACTTAGTTTGTATTAATCAGTGGGGTTTTTTTTCAAATTCATATTCCAAAAATGTATGAAATTAATATCAAAACAACTATATTTTTACAAAGTAAGTATCAGAGCAGATGTTGGTCTATTAAGGATTTTTTTCTTACTGATTTGTAGTGCTTGTGGAAGAAAATATCTAGCATTGATTTTTTTCAAAATAATGTACAAGCCAAGTTTCTGTAATGTGGCAGTTATCACGTTCGCCTCACAAAATAATGTACAAAAAGTTATATCCAGGTAACCACAAGTGAGTAAGAGTTGTAATGTTTTATGTAATATAGGCCTATTGTTTTTAAATCAGTATCCAATTTGTTTCTTCTGAAGAAGTTTATTTAAACTGATTTGTTCCTGAATTTATTCTCATGTCAATGATATTTTTCCTATCCTTTTTCTCTGTGATTTTTAATTAGCTATTAACAGTTATTTTCTCTACTTTTGCTTTGCCTTTGGGTGAACACTTCTAAAACCCTTGGTTTTAAAGACATCAGCTGGGCATGGTGGTGCACTCCTGTAATTCCAGCACTCGGGAGACTGAGGCAGGAAGGTCACTGTGAATTCAAGGCCACCCTGGGCTACATAGTGAGTTCAAGGCCAAGGTAAACTACATAGTGAGACCTTATCTCAATCAATCGATATATAAAAAGTTAGATCTCAGCTTTATACTGGCTTTTTATGGGCTTATCTCAGTAATTAAACAAGAATAAATTTCCCATTGATCAAAATTAAAGATCTTAAAAATTAGTAATTTGAAACATTTTTTAAAGCACATCATTTTCTTTGAGAGATGGAATGTGATGTAATATACTTAGTATTAATGTCAAACGTCTACCCATAAACACCTTCGGCCTCCAGCTATAAGTGAAATTCTATAGGTAGGAAAAATGACTGACCCCCTCTCTGCATAGGTGCTGTCCTGCTATGGAATCTCTTTGCTCAGTTTTCTCCGTCCAATCAGGTGGAATGTTTCACAGGCACATGGTTTGTACAGCTCAAAATAACTTGGGACCTGTGAGCTGACAAATGCTCTGGCTTTGGTGGTGACAGGTCGTCCAGCTTCTTACAGCCATCTTCACTAAAACTAAGGTTAACTCCTCACTCTCTATGGACGGCTGCTCTCTACTTCCAAGGGCGTGAAGAATTTTCCTTTTCTCCTGTGCTTTCATCCGAAAGTTCTCCTTGGATAATTGTCATCGCAGTGGAGTGCCTGAGTTGGACATCCTCATCTGGGTCAACTAAAAAAAGAAAGGTAATTTCCAGATTTAAGTTTACAAGTGTGTTTCGATAACAGGGTACTGACAATGGGGAAAGAGCTATCTCAGAGAGCTCTTTACCGTTACTCAGAGTGAAACCTGGGATAACTTTCTAATTATGGATGATGGGGTGCATAATTAGATGAAAACTGAAGTTTTCTACGTGGAAAGCTTTTGGAGGGGATTGATAAGATTCACAGAAATCATAGCCTAAGGAAGTTGTGATGTGTTGCAAGTATCGTTAGCCTTTTTCACAGGTTCATTTATTAAAATAATATTTTTATGGAGAGAACATCTACACAATGCCTATTTCCTTTTTAAAGGAAATCAAATCTAAAATAATGTGACTCCATAGTTAAAAACTTTCATTTAAATTTTTTTTTATCATGTAAAAGGATATGCCTGCTATATTTAGTATTGGGAGATCTGCTCCCTGGATTAATGTACACAACAGCTGCAAAAAGTCTTGCTCAAGGGACATTGCTCTTTCTTTCTCCTTTCTCTCTCTCTCTTTCTCTCTCTCTCTCTCTCTCTCTCTCTCTCTCTTCAGCTGCATCAGAAGGATTCTTGACAGTAGCAAATGCTTGGCTTGGTGCATTGCACTACTGGCAGTAATTAGATGCACATCTTGAATAATATTTTTATAGCTGTATAAACAAAGGAAAAGGCAAATTAGACTGTATTTCCAGTCCCAAACAAAGACATTATAATAATGGTATAATAATGGTATAAATAATGGTATAAAGAACATTATAATAATGGTATTAAGAAATTTGTGTCACCTTATCAACAGATTTTTATATATAGTTATCAAAGTTACTAGCATTATTGAAAGATTTCAATCAGCTGTGTAATTTTTTTCCCCAAAACATAAAGATGAGCTAATAATTTTTACTTTAGTAGTAATGAAATGAATTCTAAAGGTTCTAAATTAAAACTTGGGGATAACTTTATAACCTCTCCTTCATAAGAACTTAAGTTCACATAAAATCTAAGAAATCAAGAATGTCTATTATACTAATAAACATTTTTGAAACAAAAATTATGCTGTACTATCTCAAGAAATCTGAAATATATGGGCACTAATACTTGCAGAAATGTTGAGAGATCAAATTATAAGCATTACAAAGCTTATAATAATGGACTATGAAACAAACAGCTGGACACTATCCAAATTCTGAAAGGTCGTCTTATGCCTACTTATAGTGTATGGCTAACACTACTGGAATGCACAATAATGTGAAAATCCCAGTCTTCCAAGATTGTAAACTGTAATTGACAATACAGACCCTGTTACATGTTCCTTTTACAATGAGCTTACAAAGGCTCAGTGACCAGACTCAAGAGTTCTCACAAGACATTTAATAAATATTTAATCCACACTGGTTTTGGAATTCATAGAGCTATTTTCTGCAAAATTTGAAGAAATAGGATGGCAGGTAGAGCAGATTCTATTCTGAAAAGGCTTTAATGAGTTAATGTTAATATATGAACAGATGACAGCTCAATTTTTCAATAGCTAATTCCTGTCCATAATAGAAATAATGGTTGTTTCAGTTCACTAACCTGATAATATAAGACAAATGTTCCTGTTAACCTCAGAATAATTAATTTCCTTCATTAACAATGATATTTGACAAAGACCTTGCCAGTGATAGAAAAATGAAAAGATTTTTCTTAACAACTTTTTCTGTTTCCTAGGAAGTGAAATCAAGCATCACAGAAATATTTTTATAAATTTCTATAGTGCTTCATAGTTGACAAAATGCTTTAAAAATAACCTTAGCATTGCACATTGCTTATAATACGGACAGAATGATTTGTTTCAAACTTGAAAAACATATTTCAAGCAGGTATATTTTTGATGGAGCCAAAAGTTTTGTAACTTCTTTCCTGCAGTCACAGGGGTCCTCAAAGCTCATGCACAACCAGAGTCACCTTGTCACTCTGTGCAGGCCACGCCTGGGGAGGCACCCACAGAACCTCCCAGCTGAGCACCTGAACTAGGATGAGGTCCTTGGGTCCCAAGCTTATCTGGGAGACCCCTGCTCTCTCATTTAGCAAACAGATGTCAACTTAAGTAAACTACCTTTATTAACCCTTAACTCCCTAAAATTTAAAAATTGGCAAATAAGAGGCTGAAAGAAGAAAGTGTTACTTTTTTCTTACTTAAAAAATAAGAAATTTTTGAATTAATGAAATTTGACAAAACTTTCTCATTTGGGATTTCCTACATCACAAAGAGAAATTGAACTGAACCAAATCTCAGTTCTTCGTGAAAGGTGAGATCTTCAGAAGCTGTAACACTTCCTATCACTTTTGTGGCTACCACCAGCCCCCCTACTTTTTTTCCTTTCGTTGTTTGGGGGTGTTGGTGGTAATAGGGATCAAACCCAGAGCCTTGGTCAGCACAGGCAAGAGCTCTGCCACTAAGATTTCCCACTACATAGAAACCCCATTTTGGACCTAGATTTCTGAAATCTTTTTGCTTGCCTTCCATTAGCTTTCCTATGGCCCTAGGATTTCCTTATACTATTTATTTACAGATTCAATAGCAACTTTAGGCTCTGGCTTAAGTATCCTTTCCGCTGGGGTTTTCTTACATGTTTATCCCCTTCTGTATACAAAAACATGTATACTCAACCCAGAAGTGTAACTCAGTGATGGAGCTTGTCTGACATGTATAAGACACTGCATTCAATTCTCAACAGTGGGAAAAAACAAACCAATGCCAACCCCAAACCCCATGATCACTGTGTTTCATGGTAGTCATTCTCTTAAAAAAAATAAAGAAAAAAAGAAATCTTTTTCACTTAAAATGGTATCTTTAATTTCTTTCTTACCTTCTCATCTTTACCAGTTTGATTAAAATAGCAAGAATGGCCACTCACCTCTGGCCTATTTTCTAAAAAGCCTTTTCATTCCTTTAACTTCTGGCCTTTAGGGAAGATCTCCAGAGAACAGAGCCCTATTAATTCCCCTACATATCATCTGGCCACCACCATCAGATTTTACTACACTTTTCTAATGAATTCATTTGTCTATATTATCATTGCTGTTTTTCCTTCAAATTGAAAGAACCTCGAGAGAATGTGCCTTGTATTATTTCTGTATCACTACTGATACAGCATTTCAACATCCCTCAAGTTCTGACCCTGCTAACATAGCATATACTAATTTATTAAATCACTAATGCCATTCGCGCCAAAAATAGACTACAAATAAAACTAACATGATTACTGTAACTGTGAAGAGATGGACATCATAATAATATACAAATGACATGCCAGCTGCAAGCCACATTTTTAGGTGATCTGTCACACAACTCTCCAAAACTGCTTCCTGTGAACTGGGATTTGTTCCTTGCCCCAACTTTAGATACTCCAGAACTGATTTAAATACATATCTTGTGTGACATCAGAAGATAACAGACAGGTCACTACCAGCACCAAAGAGAAAGAGCAAAGTTTAACACTTTTTAAAGTTATTCTTTAAAAAAAGTTCTAGGCACGGTAATTATATAATGGCAAAGAAAGATTACCTTAAATTTGTATCGTGCTTTACCTTTTAAAAGGGCTTTTGCAAACAAACCTATGAAGTAAGCAGGGTAGTTCTGCTTTTCCTAGTTTTGAGTTACTTAGGCATATTCTTTCCTTTTATGGCTCTCTTAGACAGAAATTTTTTTTTTTTTTTTCGGTACCAGGGATCGAACTCACGACCGCCTGCTTGCAAGGCAGGGGCTTATGCCGCTGAGCTAAATCCCCAGCCCCCAGAAATAATTTTTAAATATAGATTATTTTTGTGTTGGCTTAGAAACTAGAATTGGGTTTTGGAGAGATTTGTCTGTTTATGTATGTAATGAATTAAAGCAATGTTTAGACAAGTATAAAAGATGTTCCTTTTTTAGCTTAAAATTTGACAAATAAAAGTTGTATATACATGGTGTACAGCATAATATTCTGATATTTATGTACATGTGCAATATTAAATCAAGCTAATTAATAGATCTCTCATTCATTTGTGATAACATTTCAGACCTACTTTTAGGAATTTTCAAGTACAGACTGCATTATTATTAGCTGTAGTCACTACGCTGTAAAACAGATGTCCAGAACTTACTCCTCCTAACCAAAACTTTGCACCTTCTGACCTATATTTCCACACCCCAAACCCAGGGTTGGTTTCCTCATTTAAATACCTAATGATAATTCACAAACTTAACATGTACAAAGTCCTGGTTTCAATCCCTAGCACAATGATAATAATAATCTAATGATACTTTACAGTCAGAAAATTTCAGGATTTATGTTTGAATAAGTTACTTCATATCAGGGTTTTCCAATTATCTAGCTAATGTTCCAGTTTAAACAGTCATAGTATAACTCAAGATGAGTTTATCCCATTCGATATTTCCAACAATGAATCTAAGAGCCTAAACAACTGTAGTGCTGATTTAACATAAATTGAGACGTACGCTCAAAGATTTTAGCAGCAAGGTTTGTTTCTATGAAAACAAATAAAAACCCAAACCGGTTCTTAGAGCAGATACTTCAAGAAAAATCCTAACGCAAAAAAAAAAAAAAAAAAAATTGGAGAGAGCCAGCCAAGTAAAAACATTTTCTGCCTGGCCAATTCGGTTTGCATAATTTTCTGAAGTCCGTCTTGACAATCCTGATGAAGTCCGTCTGATAACACATGAATTGCTTATTACCAATTAGTACCATTCACCCATACCATGTTCAGTTTTCAAGAGCAATTTATTTTGAAAGTGGCATAAAATCTACACACAAATTTTACAAAGGACAAAAATGTGGGAACAAGGGCAGACTCCCAGTGAAAGCCCAGGAGCAGCGTCTGCGAGCCAGCGCAGGGCTCCAGTTCCTGAGAGCAGCTTGCCTCGCCCCAGCGCTGAGTCCTCCAAGCGGGCAGCTGCCCCGGCCAGGCGCCCCTGACTCTGCGTTCTCTCATCTTCCACTTTCAATCTATCCACAAATGATTTGGCTCCACGCTCAAAAACTCTCTCAAATCTGACCCTTTCTCACCGCCTTCCACTGTGACCGCCCACTACCCCGCACCCCAGCACCCCTCAGGGGGCTCCCCCAGTGATCCAGGGATCCCCGAGTAATCCGCTCACGCCCATCTCGGTTCTTTCTCGTGGCAGCTGCGATGCACTTTTTCAAAACCATGCCATCTGTTCCTCAAAACCTTCAACTGGTTTCCCAATCACGAGTTTAGTGACGTTTAAAGTCCTGTCCCTGACTGAGAAGGCCTAATATAACCTGGCCTTCGACACTGCCTCAATTCTTTCCACTCTGCTTTTCCATTTCCTGGATACCGTGGACTTGACTCAAACACACCAAACGCTCATTTCTTCAGGCACTGAAACTTCATTGCTCGCTCTGCCTGGTCACAGGGCTAACTTCACCCTAGGAGCTTTGCTTCACCTCTCTTGCAAGAAGAGTTCCTCCACCTCCATCCTCCAGTCCCTTATCCTACTTTGATGTTTCGTCTTACTGTTGATGTCTTTCCCCCATTGGAATCTCAGCTCAGTGAGAACAGAGAGTTTGTTTTCTGTTCTGCTCTGAATCCACAGAACCAGAATGGGGCCTGGTACCCAGAAGCAGCTCAATAAATATGTATTGGATGAAAAGTAGGGATAGAAATAAGTGGTAAAGCACTTACTGGCTGAGCATGAGTGAGGCCTTGGGTTTGATCCCCAGCACCCCCTTAAAATTTATTAGAAAGCTAGGCTCTCCATAATAACACTCAGACTTTTTAAAGTACATGTTTCATAACAATTAGTTTTAAATGAATGCTTTAAGGAGACAGTTTTAAATGAATGCTTGGGACTAATACATCTTATTTCACAGTTTAGCTAATATTTATCAGATTAACAATTTATATATTTTTCATCATTTTCATCTGAGAACCTTCTTAAATAGAATCATTATCCTGTTTGATACTGGAAGATAGTTGAGATTCAAGGACATTAAATGACTTTCTCAAGATGACAAAGTTAGACTGTGTTAGAGTTGGGACTCAAAGCCAGGTTTTCTGATTATAATCAGATGTTCTTTGATGCTTCTGGTATGAAAACAAAGCACAATTCCAGTTATTATTTTCTACCATAAATAAACATTCATTGACAGTCACCTTTAAATTGTGACCACCTTTACCAGTTAGTTCCTGGTTTTCCTTTTTTCCTATAAGTTTCTTTTGTCCTACATTATTGGTCCCACTTTACTCTGCAATTTAAACAAATAACAGAGTGAGCGAGTGCTGATGAGCAAAGAATTCAGCAGATTTTTTTGACTGCCTTCTACATGCTACGAGTGTAGAGGGATGATGGTGTATGAAGCAAAGAAAGGCAGACAGAAAAGCAAACAAATTTAGCGCATCGGGCTCAATGCTGAGGACAGGGACAGTGAGTTTTGGGAGCACACTGGAAAGGAACACAGGCAAGGGAAGAAATTCCAGACCATGTAATACTTGGCCGAGTGAGACAGTGAAGGGAGGTGGGGACGAGAAGCAGCCCAAGCAAAGACAATATGTACAAAGTCAGCTAAGTCCTTTCATGAGCCTGGATCGCAACAGAATGTTGATACACTGAATTAACTACAAACTCTAGAATTCAAGTTCTGTAACAAGAACAAATGCTGTACCTCTGAACTATACACTCTTAAGTATTGTTTTAAATAATATTAACTGAATACCTATTTTAATCACAGACCTTGTTTGTTGTTGCTGTTTATTCATTTATTTGTTTTTATTTAGAGTCAGTCTTGCTAAGTTGCCAGGCTGTTCTCCAACTTCAAATCGTCCTGCCTCAGCCTTCTAGAGTACCTGGGATTCTAGGTCTGAACTTCTGTGCTGTGTCAACAGACACCACTAAGAGATGAAGCCAGAATCTGAAATCAGATCTATGTAGTTCCTGGGCCAATGTTCATTCCATGTTGCCTCAAGATATAAACCATCATCAAATAACTGAAGACAATGTCACTTTACAACACAGTTTTCAGTAATGTGCCACTTACTGAAAACCACGCTGATTTTCACCACCCCCATCTAAATTGATGTAGAAACTCAAATTAAGCCAAAGAAATGATTGACTTAAAAATAAGTACTACAACAATGACTTGTAAACCACTGATTATAATGAATTAGCGTATTAATAACCTCTGTAAATAGCATTTTTTAGTTTTTGAAACAGAGTTTCATTATTTAGTCCAGGCTGGGCCTTGAATTCACAGCAATTCTCTCTACTCGGCCTCTCAAGTGCTAAGATTACTGGTGTGCATCACCATGCCTGACCCTTAAATAGCATTTTGGACCTTATTTCATTTATCTGTTTTTCCACGTAGTTGATATACAAATGAGGAAATGTTTCAATTGGGATTGGGATAGCAAATATATTTTCATGTATGATTTTGTATATTATTAGCCATAATACAAGATTTTAAATAGCCACTGAATAATAGTGAATGAGTATATAATTATCATGACTTAACTAAGCAGTTAATTTTTATTATTGGGCATGGCTCCAATTTTTTAATCCATAATCCATACTATGATTTATAATCCATACTCTGATGAACATCTTTGTAGATAAAACTGCCCTCATGCAAGCCCTGTGCATTTTAAGTGAATCTGTTTTAAAGGCACAATAGACTTCATCCCAATTAGTGGCTCCGACAGGTACAGTCTCCGGCCCTCACAAGCACATTGAAAAGCATTTTCTCTAATTGCCCTCTCAAGGTGACTGTCTACGATGCCAGTTGAGAGGTTAGTTTGGGATAGCCCTATAGAAGTTTGAAACTAGGGCAGTTCCCAGGAAACCTTACATTTGATATAGGTTACACTGTCATGCAAAGTAATGGAGATGAATGAAGTCAATTTTGCCACAGAATCTTAACACTGGCAGAAATTCAGATTGTTTTCTTTGCCATCTTCCTAGCACAGACTCAAAGAATGGCAGACAGTCTCCAGGCCATTACTGTCTGTGACTGAGTGGTCAGGGCAGAAGGAATGGAAGGTTAAGCAATTTAAGATCAAGGCACAAATGCTGCAATCAGTGGGCTACATCTATTAAGGATGAGAGAGAGAATTAACGTATCATGAGTCACAAGTTTGCCATCCCTGTAAAAATGAATGAATAAATGGGGTATGATATTAGTAACACAAAATCAGTTGGCATTATTTTACTTATTGTCTTAAGAGTTTAAAAATACTTATTTTTTGAAAAGAAAATATATATTTAAAATTCAGAAATTAGGAAGGATACTCAGTGAAAATTCTCCCGCCAGCACTGTATTCCACAGTCTCCCTTCACCCATGTTCCTTTGAGACATTTTTTAAAGTTAGGCTCTGATTCACCTTTCTAGCATTATACCAAGAGGTCAAATCAGCATAATTTTCAAAAGCAGATGAAGCACCATAGCAACACTGACTTGAACAGTTTGTCTTGAGTCAAAAGACATAAGCATTATTATTTATTTTTCTTGGGCTAGATCAAATCTTTACTCTCAGTAGCTAGATGTGATCACAATTGTTGGTGTCTCTTATTTTTCTATAATTTTGTTACAGACAAGGTTAAGCAGAGAGGGTAGAGAGAAAATTTCTGTTTGCATTTGAAAGCACTTTGTATCCAAGAATGCCATTATACGTATGATAAAAAATAAGCTTAGCCTTATTTATTTATTTGATGCAGGGGGTTGAAACCAGGGCCTTGTGCAAGCTAAGCAAGCTCTCTAACACTGAGGAGCTACCCCCGGTGTATTAGTAAATCACTATAGTTATACCATAGCTTTCACAGCTGAACTTGCATTTAAAGAATTTGATACAATAGTAATTGCTCAGGTTTTATATTCAATTTCAAAGAAACTCCATTCAATTATTATGTTACAGTTAATAATCTTTAGGTCTTAAAAGTAAATTTTATAAAAGTATCAAAATGAGACCATTTTGTATTTTGATCTCTAAATTCTTAAGAGTTTATCATGCTGTAATTAATACAGATGTATTGCCAGGCGTGGTGGCACACAACTGTAATCCCAGCATTTGGAAGGCTGAAGCAGGAGAAACGCTGCAAAGTCAAGGCCAGCCTGGGCTACACAGCCAAACCCTGTCTCAAAAATTTTTTTAGAAAAAATAATTTCTTTAAATACAGATTGACTATTCCTTAGAAATAATCCGAATTTTGTATTTTTATTTTGTTACAGCATGCAAGACGACAGCCTAGAAGCTTCTACTTCCATATCCCAGCTGCTAAGAGAAAGCTATTTAGCCGAAACCAGGCATCGGGGAAACCAGGAGAGGAGCCGTGCAGAGCCCTCCTCCAACCCCTTCCTTTTCAGCAGTCCCTCCGGGGCTGCCGAAGGAGGAGGCCAAGAGGACCTCCCGGACCTCTCGGCCTTTCTGAGCCAAGAAGAACTGGACGAAAGCGTCAATCTGGCGAGACTGGCCATCAACCACGAGCCCTCGGAGCGGGCGGACGAGGCTCAGGCTCGGAAGCGGCTGTCCTCGGAGCCGGGGAAGCCCGCGCCCGCCTTCCGCCCGGCGAGCCCCCCACGACCCCCCAGCCCTCGGGGGAGCCCCCAGGAGGCCAAACAGCCGCACTACAGTTCCGAAAGCCAGTCCAAAAAAGTCTTCCTGAACAAGGCCGCCGATTTCATAGAAGAGCTGTCCTCCCTTTTCAAGGCCCACAGCTCCAAAAGGATCAGACCTCGCGCCTGCAAAAACCACAAGAGCAAACTCGAATCTCAGAACCGAGGCGTGCAGGAGAACAGCTCCAGCTTTTCGGAGCTGTCCGAAAGGCGGGAGCGATCGGTCCCCATCCCTGTGCCCGCAGACACCAGGGATAACGAGCTGAACCACGCCCTGGAGCAGCGGGAAGCCCAGAGGCGGGAGGCGGAGCTGGCGGGCGAGGCGGGCGCTGGCGGGGACACCACCCCCGGGTCCTCGCCTTCGTCTCTGTACTATGAAGAACCTCTGGGGCAGCCTCCCCGCTTCACCCAAAAGTTACGGAGCAGAGAAGTTCCCGAGGGAACCCGAGTCCAGTTGGACTGCATAGTGGTAGGAATCCCACCACCTCAAGTAAGGTAAAAAATGTCCCATTAGTAGTGTTTGGCAATTGCTTTCCATTGACCGTGCTTTTTTAAGTGTTACCTTTAAACTTGGGGCTCCAAAATTTATATACTTCCAGCCAGGTGTCCCACCCTGTAATCCCAGCACTTCCAGGCCAACGCAGGAGGATCCCAGGAGCTCACGGCCAGCCTGAGCTACACAGTAAGGATCCTGGAGCGAGCAAGAGAGAGAGAGACAGAGGGTCAGAGACAGAGACAGAAAGAGAGCACGGAGCAGGTTGGAGACAGCACAGTGCCAAGATCCTGGATTCAATCCTCAGTACTACAAAAATTATATACCCACTTTGAGAAAAACAGTCTGTGTCTAAAGCCATTCTGTTCAATAGAGATATAACACTATGTAATTTAATTTTTCTAGAGCTGAGAGTGTTTATGAGGTTCTGAGTTCAATCCTTAGCGCTAAAATAATTTTTAAAAAGATGTTCTAGTAGCCACTTTGTGTGTGTGTGTGTGTGTGTAATATTGGGGACTGAATACAGGGCCTTCACAGTGAACTACATCCCCAGTTCTATTTTTATTTTGAGACAGAGTTTCGTTAAGTTGCTTAGTTGCCCAGGCTGGGCTCGGACTTGGGATCCTCCTGCCTTATTCTCCCAGGGTGCTGGGATTGCAGATGTACATCACCATACCTGGTGCCACATTTTTAAAAAGCAAAAAGAACTAAGTGATACTAATAATATATGTATTGGGCTAAGGATGTAGCTCAGTGACACAGCATCTGCCTGGCAAGCACAAGACCCTGAATTTAATTTCTGTTAACAAAATAACAACAATAATAATATATGTATCGAATCAGTATATAAAAATATTATTTTAACATGTAATTAATATGATAATTATTCATGAGCTATTTTGCACTCTACTTATTATGCCAGGGATTCAAAATCCAGTGAAAATTCTGCACTTATAACAAATCTCATTTTGGATGCTAAATTTTCCTCAGAAAAATTTACTCTGCCTTTAAGATCTGTACTCAGTGAATACCTGTGGTATTTTTTGACTTTTCAAGAAAGCCAAGTAACAGTACGATGGCGAGGGGAATAAAAGAATAAAGCGTAGCTAAGATCAATGCACAGACTCATCTTACCTGTATTAAATTTATTACAGCCAAATGTGGTCGCCTTTAAGCAGAGTGACATTGGTTAACTCTCATATTCTAATATAATAATATATAAAAATGTGGTTTTCATATATTCTTTTTGTAAGATTTCTGGTATTTAAGTCATATAAGAGTTACTGTGCTTCTCTAACCACTTAATTACCTCTAGAATGTGACTTTATTACCGCTGCACATTTTTTTTTTCTCACTGTATAAACAGGGTCTTGTCTTTTCCTTATGAAAGTCATGTTATAGGACAATAAACCAGACATGGTGGCAAGCACCTGTAATCTAGCACTCAGGAGGCTGAGACAGGAGGATCATCACAAGTTCAAGGCCAGTTGGGCTACATAGTGAGTTTAAGCCAGCCTGGAATACATAGCAAAACTCTATCTCAAAAAAAGTCAAATTTAGGACAATAACAATATTAATAATGGTATTTTTATTTATATATGTACACTAATTCAAGAGATTCTGGCCCAAAGACAAAGCCCTATTTTGTGTTTTACTTTCAAAAGCAACATAAAATAAGTCAGACAGGAGTACTGGTCAGCCGGGGCTACATAGAAAGATTCTGTCTCAAAACACAAAACAACAAAAACAGCTACCAAGGCCTATCAAATATTATTCCCACAATGGCACAGAGATTTCACTGTTGGGATACTCAGCTGACCTCCTTGAAGACAGAGGTGTTGTTTTAGCCCTTGATCTTGAGTATCCAGCAGCTTCTGGCCCACACTGGTCACTTAGAAATGTTGAACTAGTGAATAAAGAAACCAGCACAAAAAGCTTGTCTTTCCCAGGACCCTTGCTGCAGCTCAGCACAGAAAGTTTCTCTGATGTGCAGAGTGTGACAGCCTGGAGGACACACAGGCTCCTGCCCCAGGAGAAGCTGGGTCTGGGGCTGCCCACTGCAGCTGTCATTTGTCACTGATAATTGTCTTCTTCCTTTACGGAAGAAAGGGTTGTTGTTTTATAGAAAGAAGCAACAGGGAAACAAAAACTTTAATTTAGATTTAAATCAGGGGCAAGAGCCAGGTGTGGTGTCTCATGCCTGTAATCCAGCACTAGGGAGGCTGAGGCAGGAGGATCTTGTGAGTTTGAGACCAACCTAGGCTACAGAGTGAGCTCAAGGCCAGCCTGAACTGCACAGCGAGACCCCGTCTCAAAAAAAAAAAAAAAGACCAAAAAAAAAAAAAATCAAGGGCAAGATAGTTGGCCTAAGATATGGGAACAGGCTGGACTCAGTGGCACAAGCACCTGCCTAGCAAGCACAAGGTTCTGAGTTCAATTGCTGCACAAGAAAAGAATGAACCAAGGACACAGCAGTGTCTCCCCTTCTCTAAACACGCCTGAGGGCACTTGCTGAGACTCCATAGGTGATGTCACTTCAGCAGCCTCATAGATGCCATCCCAAGCATCTGGTCAGCCCCAGAAGCCAGGGAACACTCAAGTTACAGAACACACACAGTTCAGTCCTGCCCTAACTCACTTGTTTCTGGCCATAGATTGATTCAAAACAAAAGAAAACATTCAAGAATTTATCATTTCCATTTCTCAACCACAACAACTTCAGATACAGTAAACTCAAACTGGGGTGTGGTGGCTTGCACCTGTAATCCCAGCCATCTAGAGGCTGAGGCAGGAGGATTGTCATGTGTTTGAGGCCAGCCTGATTGGCATAGCAAAGCCCTGTCTTGAGAAACAAAAGTGAAAAAAAGAGAAAGTTTTGAAAGAAACCAAAAGGCCCAGAGGCAAGTGTTTTCAGGAAGACACAAGTACTTGGCAATGTTGAGGTCAGGGTAACAAGGTCAGGAAATAGCAGAGATGCCACTGAGGCGGTGGGTGGGAGGGAGTAGTCCTTTCAGGCCAGGTCACCTCCACATGTCTATAGAAGGGTGAGACCCTGGCATTTTAAAAATATTTTTATACAACAGGGAGAGACTGACCTAACTGGAAAGGTGAGTAAAGCCAGATAATTTTGAAGAACTTTGAAGTTAACACAGAAAAGTTCAGGCTTGTTTTCCAATTCAGCTGGAACCCAGGTGAAGCTATGTGTAGGGAAGCATCAGACTGAGAGAAACCATTTAAGGAGCATGATTCCAGAAGAATGAGTTAGATCAGGAAGGGACAGAGCAGTGAGACACCTATGGACCTGTGGAAGGAAGCCCCGGCCTCGGGTGCTCTGGTGGGGCTAAAATGAGTGCAGCGGAAAGGAGAAGAGATGTTGGTAACCAATATATATATATATTTTGGGTCTTTTTCCTTTTTATCGGTACCAGGGATCAAACTCACAACTGCCTGCTTGCAAGGCAGGTGCTTATGCTGCTGAGCTAAATCCCCAGCCCCCGGTAACCAATATTTAGAAGAGAAAAAGTCAAGCTGAATTTGTTGTAGATGCAAAGCATGAGCATAAACAATAGCGTCACAAGCTTGAGGTTGGATACCAGACAAAAGATGGAGGCCACTGGCCAGGAATGAGACAAAGGAAGAGGAGCTGATTTGTGAAGGAGGCTGAAGAGACGGAAGGTGGAGGGGTCAGAAGGAGCACATCCCTGGGCAGTCAGAAAGGCAGGCGAGGGACAGAGCTGGAGCATTCTGAGGAGTGGCGTGAGTAAATCCAACACAGAATTTATCCTTTCCATTTCTCAACCGCCTTACATAGAAAGGGGGGACCGAGCTTGAAAACACCATGTCACCCTTTGTTCTTGCCACAGCCTAGTACTCATGGTTTCTGGTCTCGGCAGAGGGACTATGAAATTCAACTTCTAGTTGTTGGTTCAGTCCAGTGCTAGAAGGGAAGAGTATTTTCCAACCTTCTTTTAGCAGTAACTATCCTCCCAAAACGCATCACATATTATTCATATTATATACACACGCACATACACACAAATATTTCAAAGATAAAATTAGCGTTACTAGGAATGAAGCGGGTAGAGGGAAGAGAGATTGGAGCCCTGCCTGGTCACTCACCGAAGTCCTGAAGTATTTCCATCTCAGGAGCAGAGATTTTGATTCAGAAGATTCTTTTTAAAAAATAGTAAAATAGTAAGTCATTTCAGTTTGTTAAATAGGAGCACCACAGTCAGTAAAGAACATAACATTTTAGCTATTTCAACAAGAAAAGATAAGAATACTAGGCAACTATCTACATGCTTCCATGTGCAATCCAGTATTTTACCCATGTTCTTGTAACCCTAGTTGACTTTTTATGTTGAAAAATCATTTTTGCTTAAATTGTTGATTTCCAAGTAAAATTGGGTAGAGATTGTTGAATAAGTAGAATGGGATCCTGTCTGACTGAAGGTGGCATTTCTGAAAGCTTATTAATCTTGGACATCGTTTCTTTGGAGGCCTGGCCTTACGTCATGAAAGGCATGTGCATGACCCACAGATGAAAGAGTCTGCAGGAATTCACAGCAAATGGCCCTAATCCCTTTTCGTATCCTGACTCCAGATTCTTTCCCCAGGAATGTACAGCTGGGTCACTCTATACATTTCCTCGTACACAACCTGCTGAGGCAAAACACATTTACCTTTTTATAGATACGGATGTCCGCGGTGGCTGTTGAGTTTTGTCATTGCTACTCCTGGACATGTGCCAAGGAAATAAAAATGAGACAACATAGCTATAAAGAATACTCAAGTGATACAGGAGAGCTTCCTTTTGTGTTATTTAGGGACTTTTTCTTCCACCTTTTGGGAACATGTAAATTCTTTCACTCAGCCAAGAAATATTCAGTGCCTGTTCATGTGCCGTGCACCACTGTGGGCTCTAAGGTTCAAGCAGCAAAGAAGGTGGATACATTTTCTGCATTTGTGTAGCTCTAAGTCTGGTAATGACACAAATAATGAA